CCTAAGATGTTTTGGACCCCTTGTGCTGCACATTGTGTGAACTTAATGTTGCAAGATCTTGGTGATAAGTTGCCCAAGATAAAAAGTGCTTTACGTGAAGGTAAAGCAATGGTTGTTTATATATATAACCATGGGAGGATATTGAGCCTAATGCGAAAGTTAACAAGCGGGAGAGAGTTGCATAGATCATGTGTAACCAGGTTTGCTACTGCGTTTTACACTCTTAAGAGTATTTGGGAAAATAGGTGTCATTTGCAAGTTTTATTTGTTTCTGAAAATGGACCAACAGTGAGTTTGCAAAGAAGACTGATGGGGAAAAAATTGCAAGAATAGTGGCAAGGCAGGGCTTTTGGGACAATGTTTATTTTACTTGTCAAGTCTTGGCTCCACTGGTTGATGTGATAAGATTGGTGGATACAGAAGAGAAACCTAGTATGGGTTATATTTATGAATCTATGGATAGATCAAAAGACCAAATTGAAAAGAATCTTGGGAATGACCAATTCACCTGTGCAAAAGTATGGTAGACAATTGATAATAGATGGAATAATAAATTCCACCACGGTTTGCACAGAGGTACAAACTGTTTTTCATTGTTTTCTTACTGTAATCTTCTCTTTGTTGTTTCATTGTTTAATAAACTGTTAATTATGATTTATAATTGATTACTTTTGGATGGAATCATGGAAGCTTGGAAAACAGTTTAAGGTGAATGTCATCTTTTCAAATGTATTGTTGTTTAAGAATTACGACCCCTTCTGCCCTATTGGTATGGTCAGCATTCTGGTTTCTGATAAAGCTCATTACAAGTTAGTGAGGACTCAGGATGCTCTTTTTCTTTAATTTAAAAGTTAAAACCTTAGACAATCAAAATTCAAAAGACTGTATACTCATTTACTACACAGTCTCTTTGATGTAATGTCCTGCTTATCCTACTTATATTATGCTATAATTCTTATCTAGTTGGGGTGAGAGGCAGTGAGTTTATAACCTGCTTATCCTGCAGCTGGTTATTACCTAAATCCAAGCATATTTTATAAGCATGATGTGACGAAGATGGAGTCAAACAAAGAGATAAAAGCCGGGCTCCTTGAAGCAATACAAAAGCTCGTAGATGAAGATCATGCTTGTTACGGCGGTAAGTCGAGTCGTGGCGCCAGCTGACCGCCATATCGCCTAGGCGACAAGGCGCCCGCCTAGGCGACAATTAGGCGACTAGTCGCCTATATTTGTATATTATATTATATATTATGTATATAATTATATGTTTACATATATATTTATATATTTAATTATATATTATGTATAATATATTACTAACTAAAATGTATATAACTTATAATTGAAATCCACAATTAGTAATTAAAAACAAGGTTTATTAATGGGAATTAAGAGTTTATTATTAAACTAATATATACGAGCATATTAGTATTCTGTATATCACCAGTAGAATAAATTAATGGTTTAATGTCTATATCACCATGTTACACTGTATTTAATAAATTAATTGTTTTATACTTTTATAGTATCTATATAATTACCATTAAAAAAAGTATCTATATAATTAATACTGTACTCATATATTGATAAATTTGATATACATATATAATTATATATACCACTTAAATAGTAAAAATATTAAAAAAATAAATCCACTACACCCCTAGAGAATAAAAGATAAGACTAGATAAGAAATCGGTGGACTCAACTGGACTGTCTCGTCGTATGCTTCAAGCATCAACGACGGACAGGGTGATGACGGTTGGCTTGGCCGGCGACTTCTTCTGCCTTCTGAAGTTGGTTCGTCGCTTCTCTGTGAGTTGTTCTCTGCGTCGGGCTTTATATTTAATTAGAAGGCCACCATCTTAAATTCTTAATTAAATAGGTTTCCTAAAAAAATTAAACCTTAATCTAAATCCTTAATCTACTCTGGGCCTGCGTACAACTTCTCGACTAGGCTAAAATAGGCGGTGATAAATCGCCAAGTTCACGCCAGGACGACGCCTTGGCGACGCCAAACGCGACTGGTCATCTCTCGGCGAGGCGAGCTTACCTGGCGAGCAGTCCCCAGCGCCTGGACGCCTAGTCGGCGACTAGGCGACGCCGTGACAACCATGATGAAGATGCACTTGACAGTATTAGCAGTGAGTTGGTACTTTACAGATCTGCAAGTGGGTCTCTAGGATCAACTATGGCCGTGAGAGCTAGGGAAAAAGTCCCACCCAGTAAGTTTCCATCTCCACTATTACACTATAGTAATTAATTAATCATCTTTCAATTTTATTTACTAATAATATTGTGTAAATTAGTTATAATTTAATTAATTCAATAATTTGTAGATGAATGGTGGCTTTCATATGGGTCTGATGTGCTCATGTGCCTAATCTTCAAATGTTTGCACTCAAGGTTTTGAGTCAAACCTGTAGCGCCTCACCATGTGAGCGTAATTGGAGTGCCTTTGATCATGTGAGTCATTTAGTATAAAGTAGTATTGAATATACTTAACTTATTTCATTCAGGGCATATTATACTTGATCATGTTACTTTGCCAACATGTATTTCATTGCATTTTTTTCAAGTCTTATTCATTTTAAAAGAGTACCTGCCAGTAAGGTATTATGCTTAATGTATTTTTTTCATGTGTAACATTTTAGATACATTCAAAGAAGAGAAACCGTTTGCTGCAATCAAAATTAAATGATCTTGTCTACATCCAGTACAACAAAAAGTTGCAACAATGATTCCTTGAGAGACAGCACAATGTTGGCAGTAAGAGTTATGATCCTATTTTCTTAAGGGAAGTTGATGAAAATGATGATTGGGTTGTTCCAAATGATGAAGCACTTCAAGACCTTGTCAATCAAGGTGATGATCTGACTTGGGAACAAGTACGAGCAGCACAACAAACAACTGAGGCACGGACAAACACAAGGAGTCAAAACAGAAGGGGGAATGTGAATGCATCACAGTCTGCGTAGACTGCTTGATATTGAATTAGATGACCCGGAAGTGGAAGAGGAAGAACATGTGGGGAATCTGACTACTGAAGATCTATTTGGAGAAGATCTATTTGGGAACATGGAGGATGAAGACGAAAATCACGACCTTGAACCCAATGAAGATTAATATCAGACCAACTTATTAGATGATTGACTATTTTATCACTTTTGCTTTATGACACTTACTACTCCATCATTAGGATAATTGATTTCTATCCTTTTATTCGCTTTTATGCATTTTGAGACAATTTAAAGACAATTTTATTGCTATATTTTAAGACTACTATATTTAAATATATTATTATAATTAATTAATACTAGGCTGAGTAATCACCGAGTAATCCTGTGTATTCGGTCCTACTCGCCACTCGGCCCTTGACCAAGTTGCTACCGAGTAGCGACTAAACTACCTAGATTACTAGAAAATAGTTGATATTAGTTTGACCATGAGTTTAGTGAGCCGCCACAACATTTTTTGATCTCTTTAGAGTCATGGTATGGGTGGAGAACAAAAGTAATGCAGTAGTAGTACAATAGAAATATCGAAACAAATTACGAATTTAAGAAGCTAATTCATTAAATGTAATGACCGTTAAACAATTAGCAAACATATAAGGCATAATGTTTTTTTAAGCAATATAAATAATATTGAGTAGCTTGACATGCATTTTGTTTCAGTTGTATCTTTCCATTAGGCTTCCGTTTAATGGTGTGTGTTTTTAATAAAATACGTATCAATACGTATATTATACATTTTATCCTTAAAGTACGTGAGTTTTTCAAAATTTTCTGAAAAATTCAGAAACAGGAGTATTATACATAATAAAATACGTATCAGTACGTACGGTACATGTATTATACATTTTACCCTTAAAATACGTGATTTTTTCAAAAAATTTTGAAAAATTCATAAACGGGAGTATTATACGTAAATTATATGTTCGAGTGTATTATACACAAATTATACGCTATTAACTAACAGAGGGCCTAACAATCGTCTTGTTGAGGCGCACCTTCTGCTATTTTTCTTTTAATTTTTTGGGCACTATTGAAAATCGGAGTTATTATTATCTATCTTCCTCGTACGTTTTTAAGGGCGTGACCCTCTGGTGATAACAGAATTCAACACATAACCACTATGATAAAAAACAAAAAACATAACCCTATCTGAAAACGGGCCCAACCACAACTACATTTTCATTTTCTTACAGCTATTACTACGTACGTATATAATACGGAGTAAAAGTTATAACAAATAAACTCTATCGTCTTTTTTATTTCTCGTAATTACACATTATGTACCATCATATTTTAAATAAGTTATGATTCAATTAAGTTTAGATACACCTCGTGCATCGCACAAGTACTTCATCCAGTAACTAATATAAATAGATATAATACATTTTAATTTAAGTAAATACAGAGTATAAGATTATTGAATTGTGTAGAGAGAATTGGAGAGAATGAAGATGATTAGAGTAGGAAGAATTTGAGAATCGGTGTAGGAAATTTTTAAAAAATAGGTGCATTTATAGTTTCTATACCCCCCCCCCCCCCCCCCCAAAAAAAAAAAAAAAAAAAAAACAACCCCCAACCCCAAAACCACCCAACCCCGCCCCCCAAATGGTCATATAGCTGTTGCCAATGGCTACATGCCACCCCACCAACCCCACCTTTTTTTTAAAAGTGGCTGTTGGGACCGAAACCAGGCCTAGGACTGGCCGGTCCGATCCCAAAAATTGAAGCCCGAGCCTGTCACGCCAATTAGCCGGTCCAGTTACTGGGCAGGTAGCCTACTGGTACCGGGAAACCAGGCTCATGCCAGTCCCAAATAGTACCGGTCCTGCGCCAATCCCAAGTAGGGCCGTCCGGACCCAGTCCAAGCCTAGATATAAGTAAGGGTTTGAGACTAAACCTGAGCACATAGAGCTTTCACAAGGCCAAAATGTAAAAACCACAGTCTAACTAAAGGAGAATCATCTATAAAATCAAACATCACACCTCACAAAGATGAACAATTATACAATGTCATCCTCAGTTCCAATGGTAAACCATGATGGCCTTCTACCATTTGTTTTCGTGTATCACAAATTCACAATCAGATGTCAATAAAAGAGATTGTCATCATGTATTGTTGGTATTAGGCGTTTAGGAAATATCCCTGCATCTTGAACCTACATCGCACGAATTTAGTTTATTTCTTAGTAATAAATTAAAACTACAACACAAAACATGTATGGATATCACCAGGATAGAACTGCAGAGAGATGGAATTTCCATCAGGATTCAGAGGATGAAGAAGTGTCATCTTTGTGCTTAACCATGCCAGAATCAACAAGAACTGGAATTTCTGCTGCAAGCCATGGTGCAAGACCCAAACAGAGGGCATGTGCTATTCCAAACCTCGGGCTGGCAAAACCAGCAAGTAAATCAATGTTCAGTGATAATCAGAACTTAACAAGAACTGTAAACAAAATCCATAAATCTGAAGAAAAGAAAAGAAAACCCCTAATTCTTGTTTGCTCTACTATAATTACCAATTCTTCGCCCAGAGTGGCTTGAAATGCACCGTCAAGCAAATCTTTCCTCCTCGATACATCTAAACATTCAAAATTGACAAAATCACAAACCAGAGGTGCAGCAAAATCAATGGATCCAAAATCTTCAAATTCCAAAAAATACAGAACCTTTTCAGTCTTCCCATCGAGTTGGGGCAACTCGAGTTCAGGAGCGGTCGCGGGGTAGGTGACAGGGATGTCAAATTGGAGGTCAAATTCATACTTGAGAAGATTGTGGACATACCAGCACTTGCCGGTCCACCGAGTCCCTTCCGGGTTAGCGGCGGAGATACGAAACCAGTCATTATCCCTCGACTTGTTCATCGACGTATAGGTGATAAGTGCCTTGTACTCCTCCTTGAGCCGCTGTGTCCAGGCTGCGCCATCTCGCGGCCCTGCTTTCGTCGTCAGAAGTGGGATCTGTGTGAGAGTTGATTTCGTATTTGGATCCCAACCCTCCATTCCCAAAACCTAGATCCAAGCTTGAGTGATTTCGTATTTGCTTTCCAGTTTCTAACAGAGTTGAATCCGAAAAAACGTAAATCGAATCAAAATCAAACTAAATCAAATCACAATCAAACTAACTTGAAATGCAAAAAACGGGATGCTAAGGGTCTGTTTACTAACAGCAATATTTTCCTGTTTTCCAGAAAACTGGAAAACTGGAAAACAGAAAACAGGAAATGTGTTTATCAAAGAAATTCCTGGAAAACTGGAGAAAGGAAAAAAGAAAAACGTGTTTACCAAATCGTTTTCCAAAACGGAAAAAATGAAACATGTCTCTCTTTTCCTTAATGATTTGGAGAAGTGACTTTTACTAGTTTTCCAAATTTGGAAAACGCAGATGCTACAGTGCCTTTGCAATGAATTTGCATACTTACACATAGTGGTGGGTCCAGTCCCGCTCCGATGTCGATTCCATTCCGGTACCTCCATCCTCGTACCTTACCCCTTACCCCTACCCTACCCTACCCACCCAACCCCCACCCCCGCGTACCCATTTTTCCCTCTACAACCTCGACCCCACCCCGACCCACCCTACCCTACCCCCACCCCTCGTATATTACCACTTACTCCTACCTTACCCCTTACCACATGTCTCCTACATCGGCCCCACCCCACCGCCATCCTACCCCCCACCCCCGTACTACCATCCTACCCCCACCCCCACCCCCACCCTACCCTACCTCGGCCCCACCCGGATCCCGGGCCCACCCTACCGCCATCCTATCCCAACTCCCTACCCCACCCCTACCCTTACCCCCACCCCAAAAACTCAACCAAAGGGCGTCTTTACTAAACAGAGATACTTTCCAGTTAGTAAAACTGGAAAGCTGAAAAACTGGAAAACAGAAAACAGGAAACGTGTTCACCAAAGAAATTCCTGGAAAACTGGAGAAAGAAAAAAAAGAAAAACGCGTTTACCAAACCATTTTCCAAAACGGAAAAAATGAGGCGTGTCTCTCTTTTCCTTAATGATTTGGAGAAATGATTTTTACTAGTTTTCCAAAATTGGAAAAAATGCAGATGCTACAGTGCCGTTGCAATGAATTTGCATACTTGCACCTAGTGGTGGGTCCGATCCCGCTCCGATGTCGATTCCATTCTGGTACCTCCATCCTCGTACCTTACCCCTTACCCCTACCCTACCCTACCCTACCCTACCTTACCCACCCAACCCCGCCCCGCATACCCATTTTTCCCTATAATGACCCTACTCCACCCCGATCCACCCTACCCTACCGCCACCCCCCTACCACCTCGACCCCACCTTACCCTACCCCCCACCCGTATATTACCCCTTACCCCATGCCCCTACCTCGGCCCCACCCCACCGCCATCCTACTCCCACCCTCGTACCACCATCCTACCCCCACCCTTCCGCCACCCTACCACCATCGTACCCCCACCCTACCCTTCCCCTACCTTGGCCCCACCCAGATCCCGGGCCCACCCTACAGCCACCCCCTACCACCTCGACCCCACCCTACCCTACCCCCCACCCGTATATTACTTACCCCTTACTACATGCCCCTACCTCGGCCCCACCCCACCGCCATCCTACCCCCACCCTTCCGCCATCCGACCACCATCCTACCCCCACCCTACCTTTCCCCTATCTCGGGCCCACCCTATCGCCATTCTATCCCACTACCTCTACCTTACCCCAAACCCTACCCACTACCCCACCATTACCCCTAACCACGACCCTAACCCACGAACTACCCCCACCCAACCCCCTACCCCTAGATCTTACCACCCCACCCCGACCATACCCCTTACCCCACCCCCACCCATGACTTCTCTACCCCGACCCCTACGAGTAGGTATGGGTGGGTACGAAGGGTTGTGGGGGAGTATGGGTAGAGTGTAAGACCGTGGTAAGGGTAGGGGTCAAGGGTGTGAAATTGGAGAACTGGGTGAAAAAATTGATGAACATTTATTCAGATTTGAAAATGAAAAACTAAAAAATAGAAACAGAAAATTGGAGATAGAAAAACTGAAAAATAAAAACAGAAAATTGGAGAACGAAAAACAGAAGTAGAAAACATGAAAGTATCTCTGTTAGTAAACAAGCCCTAATTGTTTGGTTCGGTTTCGATTTAGGCTGTTCAAATATGCTCATTTATATTTAGTAATAAGTAATAACTTCAAATCTTTTTTGGAACATTATTAGTAACTTGGGATAATTTGAGTTTGCACTCCATTTTATTGTTCAAATTGGATTTTGCACCCCATTTTTAAAAAACTTTGTTTTTGCACTCCAACCCATATGAAAAGGCAAAATTGTCCCTCCATTAATAATTTTGTTGGCCTTCAATATATTCCTGGTCGAGAGCATTTTTGACTTTTCATATGAGGTTGGGGTGCAAAAACAAAGATTTTTAAAAATAGGGTGCAAAATCCAATTTGGGCAATAAAATGGGGTGCAAACTCAAATTATCCCTAATAACTTCTTATGAGACTTGTTGTGATACCTTGAAAATTTGAAATAAAAATAAATAACTAAATAAATCAGATAAGTTATATCTGATAAATCAAATGAAAGTAATATCAAAATATATTTTTATTATACTTGGTGTATAAAAATATACGCACACTACATGCAATAGAATTAAACACTTATGTGGCATCGGAAAAGAAAAAAAATAAAAAAAATAAACCAGATAAAATATATCAGTCTGTAGCACCGTCCCCAAATGTATTTACTTTTAAGTGAATAATGTATTGAACCTTACGGAATGGTCAATGAGTATACGAAGATGTGAATTTTTAATATTTCTTTTGCGCAAATAGTAAATTCGCACGCGGGACCCACACTGGGAGCGGGGCCGCCCGATATTCCCGAGACCGTATATTTTATCCAACTTGGTCGAAATAATATTTATATAGAGGGGGATAATTTACTTGGTCCAAAGCAATGACATAATGTGGACCGATTGGTCAAAAGCGGCTCAATTATCGGTATTGGTGATTTAACGGATAATAGCCCGAAATTGGATTTCGGAGACCTATAAATTAAAGTTGGGGAATGTACATTCATTATAAAGGGTATAATGATTAAGAACACATAATATATTTTATTTGACCCGATAAAGTAAAATACAGTTAAAACAGTCCGAAAAATACAACTTTCGGGACCGATTGTACACATTGGGACACAAAGGGATGACCTCCCACATGAGTGGGGGCCATCCCACGTTTTTTTGTGCTAGAATGGACAAGGGGGAGCTGGGTTGACAAGAGGATGAGTGGAGGAGGTGCAAAGGGACCCTTTGACCTCACTCATTGGCCATTTGAGACAAAACCAAGTCTCACAACCCATCCCCCCTACCATATTTCGGCCATCACAAGGAAAAGAGAGAGATAGGAAGCTCTTCAACCCCATACTCCATAGCTAATTCGAGCCCAAGCAAGGAAGTTCCAAGGAGGGAGATTAAAGGGAGAAAAAGGCTAGGAAAAGTGAGAAAGATTAAGGTAATGACCTTGTATTAACTTTTCCTTTATTTTTCCCCTACCCTATGAGGTACATATCTTATGGAGAACCCTTGAGGTTGTTCTACATGTCAATAGTGTGGAATAATGGGTTGGGGAGTAGTTCTAAGTCCAAGAACGGACTTAGAAGCCAAACCGACCGGTTCACCGGAAAATAACCTTTTAAGGGTTATGTGTATTGATTAAGGTTTTATGATGTTAAAACCTTGTTAGGAACTTGATTTAGAGTATCTTTGAGCTTCACCGGAGTTTCGCCGGAGTTGGTCAAAGTTGGCCGGAGTTGGTCAAAGTTCACCGGAATTAGTCAAAGTTCAACCGCGGAGCGTAGAACACGCTTAAGCTCACTTAAGGTGAGGATGACCGACTATATTGCTTATAATTATTGGGTTAATTTCATAAGATTACCTAAATGAATTATATGTGTTTGGCATGATTTATTTATAGTACAAAAATGCCTAAATGAGATTTTTATTGTTTATAAGCAAAAATGCATAATATACAAATTTATGAATAAATTGTGTATGATTATGTGTTATGAATACAATGGTATAATAGTTGTGTAAACTATAAACCAAATTGTGATAAATATACTTTTACCTCATGTAAGGAAGTCATGGAAGGATAAAAGTGATATTTTGATATTAGAGCCAAGTTGTACTTGAATGTGGAATTTAATTGAGATATTCAAATTATTATGAACTCAAGTTACATTTGGAGTAGGCCTTAAGGGTTACTCAAAATGGATGGAACCTAGACTAAGAAGTGGTTTAGGGATTAGTTGACGTGACTATGAGCCGAGCTCTAGCACGTGGTAGTATGACTATGAGCCGAGCTCTAGCAAACGTAGGGTGACTATGAGCCGAGCTCTAGCACAAATTAGTATGACTATGAGCCGAGCTCTAGCAAACGTAGGGTGACTATGAGCCGAGCTCTAGCACAATTTAGTATGACTATGAGCCGAGCTCTAGCAAATGTAGTGTGACTATGAGCCGAGCTCTAGCACAATTTAGCATGACTATGAGCCGAGCTCTAGCATGAAGGAACGTGAGTTAATTATAAGTGAATAACATCCTAGATTGAGGGTCTTGGAAATTGAAACTTTGATTATACTTAGTATAGTTGTCATTGTACTTGTCAAATGCTTCCAAGTACTGACCTCCCCTTCACGGGGGAGGCCACCTCACAGTTTCAGGTAGGGAGTAGAGCTTGCTACTACCGCTCGTTGCTTCGGGGAATTCAAGGAGGAAGGCGGGGTTCGTACTTCTCCTGTTTCTGTTTTGAAAACAATTTAAATAATGCTCATGGATATTATTCCGAATATTTATTTGGGGGCTTGTATGCCCGTGGTTGCCACGTGTGGCTTGAATATTTGTAATTATGTTTCCGCTGCTTAATTAAATATTTTACGTTATGATTGTTTATGGATGTACTATGTGTGAATGGTATTCAAGACGCCTAGTATAGTATGGATGAGTTGGACTGCGGTTGACTATTCGTACTGTACGGCGGGTTGTTGA